GGGGGAGGGGCAGGGCGGGGGGGGGTCCCCGCGGGGATTTTCGCCCTCCCCCCCCCCGGCGTCCCCGTCCCCCCCCGCGGGACCCCCGGCCCCGGTCGGGCTTTGGCGCGGTCCCGCTCCGGTCCCGGTCCCGGCACGGTTCCAGTCCCGCTCCAGTCCCGGTCCAGGTGCGGTCCCGGTCCCGGCATGGTTCCGGTCCCGGTGCGATCTCGGTCCCGGCACGGTTCCAGTCCCGATGCTGATCCCGGTCCCGGTGCGGTCCCGGTCCCGGCACGGTTCCAGTCCCGGTCCGGTGCCGGTGCCGGTGCTGATCCCGGTCCCGGCACGGTCCCGTCCCGGTCCGGTCCGGTGCCGGTCCCGGCGCGGTTCCAGTCCCGCGCTGGTGCCGGTCCCGATCAGGTCCCGGTCCCGTCCCGGTCCGGTCCGGTGCCGGTCCTGGCGCGGTTCCAGTCCCGGTCTGGTCCCAGTCCCAGTGCGGTCCCGGTCCCAGTGCCAGTCCCGGTCCTGGCACGGATCCAGTCCCGGTCCGGTGCCGGTCCCGGTGCGGTCCCAGTCCCGGTGCCGGTCCCGGTCCTGGTGCGGTCCCGTCCCGGTGCCAGCGCGGTCCCGTCCCGGTGCCGGTCCCGGTGCCGATCCCGATCCCGGTCCCGGTGCGGTGCCGGTCCCGGCGCGGTCCCGTCCCGGTCCCATCCCGGTCCCGCTCCGGTCCCGGTCCAGGTGCGGTCCCAGTCCCGGTGCGGTTCCAGTCCCGGTCCCATCCCGGTCCGGTGCCGGTCCCGGTCCTGGTGCGGTCCCGTCCTGGTGCCGGCGCTGTCCCGGTCCCGGTCCCGGTGCGGTGCCGGTCCGTAAGGCACGAGCGGCCCCCGCGGGGGCTCAGCTGGACGGCAGCGCCGGCACCAGGAGCCCGCGCGGGTCGGCCCGGGCCAGCTTGGCCGGCGGCGGCTCCAGCGCCGCGGGGCCGGGGCCGGGGCCGGGGCCGGGGCCGGGGCCGGGGCCGGGGCCGCCCGGCAGCCGCAGCTCCGGCGGCAGCTCCGGCGGCAGCTCCGGCGGCAGCTCCGGCGGCAGCTCCTCGTCGCTCTCGTCGTCCTCCTCGTCCTCCTCATCTGCGGGGAGCGGCTCAGACACCGGGACCGAGACCCGAGAACCGGGAACCGAGACCCGAGACCCGAGAACCGAGACCCGAGAACCGGGAACCGGGAACCGAGACCCGAGAACTGGGAACCGAGAACTGGGAACCGAGACCCGAGACCCGAGAACCGAGACCCGAGAACCGAGATCCGGGAACCGAGAACCGGGAACCGAGACCCGAGAACCGAGACCCGAGAACCGGGAACCAGGAACCGAGAACCGAGACCCGAGACCCGAGACCCGAGAACCGGGAACCGAGAACCGAGACCCGAGACCCGAGACCCGAGAACCGGGAACCGGGAACCGAGAACCGAGACCCGGGAACCGGGAACCGAGACCCGAGACCCGAGAACCAAGAACTGAGAACCGAGACCCAAGAACCGGGAACCGAGACCCGAGACCCGAGAACCG